ATGTTCTATGACTTGTTTCTTTCACTTAACATTATGCTTGAGATTGATCATGTTGCAGCTGTAGTGTGTCCATTTTTGTTGCTGAATAAGATTCAACTATGCAAATATACCACATATATTTATTCATTTTATTGTTGATGAACATTTGGTTGTTGCTAGATTTTGGAGTTATGACCAGGAATATGTTCTACGTTCATCCATAAGAAAATAAGGACAGTATATTAGTCACTTGCTTGTTTGTCTTAGATCCATTCATTGGCCTTCTCTATCTATCTATCTATCTATCTATCTATCTATCTATCTATCTATCTATCTTACTTTCCTATCATCTATCATTTATCTATCTCTATCATCTATCTACCTATCATATCTATCTATCTATCTATCTATCTGTCTATCTATCCATCCATCCATCCATCCACCATCTCTTTTTCTCTCTCTCTCTATCTTATCTATCTCTCAATCTATCTAGCTATCATCTATCTACATACCTATTCACAATAGTATATAGTCTCTTATTGTTGGGTAATTAGGGTCTTTTCAATTTTTCACTTACACGTATTCTCATTTCCAATTTTTTTCTTAGCCTAGATTATGCAAAGCAGAAATACTGGGCACAGAAAAAGGCCACTTTTAGAATTCTTTACACCTATTGCTAGATTGCATTGTAGAACCAGAGCACTGTGTCACCCACAAGGAGTATTTGGATCCCATAGCACTAAACCTTTGCTTGCCTTTACTATTACCTTAAGAACATCTTGACTAAGGAGCACCTGGGTGGCTCAGGTGGTTAAGTGTTTGACTCTTAATTTCAACTCAGGTCATGATCTCACAGTTCATGGGATCGAGCCGCAAGTTGGGCTCTGCACTGACAGTGTAAAGCCTGCTTGGGATTCTCTCATTCCCTTTCTCTGTGCCCCTTCTGTGTGTGTGCTTGCTCTCTCTCACAAAAATAAATAAATAAACATGAAAAAACCCATCTTGACTAATTTGGGAAAAGATATAATTTAATTGTTTTCATATATCCATGTATTTTTCTGAATATTATTAGCCCTTTGCCTTTCCTCTTTTGAGACTTACAGGTTCATGGTCTTTGCCAATTTTTTTTTAAAGATTTTAGTATTTCTCATTTTGATTTGTATAGGCTCTTTATGTTTTTGGCATTTTCCCCGTTTTTCCTATTTTATTATTTGTCTTTTTTTTTTTTTTTTTTTAACTACAGAAATGATTTATACTGGCTGGCTCCATTTCCTCATCCCTCCTTTCTCCCCAGTCTCTCCCATCCATCTTCACAAGGACCTCTATCCTCTATCTGGTCCAGAGGCGTCTTCTCTTTCTGCGTCTTACTTTACTTCTCTGTAGTGTTTGATTCAGCCAATGGCTCCTTCGTTCTGGAAATATGTTCTTTTCCCTGCTTTCAGACTCTCCTGGTTTTCTGCTTGCTTTGCTTTCCTCCTCCTTACCTTTTTTGCTGCCTTTGCTCTTCAGTCCACACATGTTGCTGAGCTTGGGAACCTGGGTCCTGGTGCTCTCCGTGTATCCCTTGGGTAACCACTGTGAAGTTCTAAGCATCTTCCCACAGCTCCTCACTAAGCATCTCCACTTTGACCTCTAACAGGCATGGAGAAACCCTTAGTGAAATGAAAAGTATTTCAGGCAGAGGGAACAGTACATGCAAAGCTCCTGAAACAAGAGAGCATTCGATGTATTCAAAGAACGGGAAGGAAACCAGTGAGTCTGTAGCCTGATAGGTGGGTGGGGAGGGGGTCGTGTCAAGTGGTGGTGGAATAGAGGACCAATGAGAGAGAAGGGGTAGACTTTGGTCATGTTGAGTGTGAGGTGCAACAGAAGCCAGGAGGTTCCAAAGGCACAGCAGAGCTGTGGGGAATGGAGCTGGAGACACTGGGCAGGGAATCTGAGGTGCTGCTAGAGGAACAAGTGGGAGCTGCTGCTTTCCTGGGGCGACATGGGGCTGTACCAAGTGGAGAAGCAGGGAGGGCGTAGAAGAGAGTGCCACCTTCTTGGGCCACACCAAATGAGGCCAATGAGGACCAAGCCGAAGCATCCGGGTCTCTAACTGGGCCTGGTTGGACTCGACCTGAACCAACACTGGCCTGAAGTCACTCTAGTTGTTTGGGCCCTGAAAAAATGATCATGCCAACTAAAGTAGCTCCCATTGCCCTTAAGATGAAAGCCCCAAAGTGTTCTTCTTTCAGGGTTCTGCTTCCAATTACTGGCAGGAATGATTGCTAGGTACTTGTGGTGAGGGACCCATCCTCCAGACAAGAGGATGGCAGAATCTGCTCATTAGGGACAGATAGGAGGCATCATAGGCTTTGTGGGCCAGCTACTCGATTCTGCCCTTGTAGCAGAAAAGCTGCCACAGACAATACAGAAAGGAGCAAGTGTGGCTGTGTTCCCATAAAACTTGTTTATATACTCTGAAATGGTATTGTGCAATTTTAATATGTCATGAAATATTTTTCTTCTTTCCAACTGTTTACAAACGTAAAAGTGTCCTTAGCTCATGGGCTAAGGTGGCCAAAAGGTGGCCAGGAGGCATGGTTGTGGTTTGCACCCACCTTTCCCAAAGCCCTGCAAACCTCATCACTTGCCAACCTGATTTTATATTAATTACTTTACCTGAGCCTCCCATGCTATTGGAAACAGTGACTTTGGCTGTCACACCTCAGTGTAGTACAGTTTAGGTGCCAATTCTTATGGAAGACTCTTTAACTCCTGTGGCTCCCGTGGGCCAAGATACATTGGTGCTTCCCTGAGGCTATCAATGAAGTATGTGGATCCCAGTTTTGGTTAGAGAGTTCTGCTCCAGTTACCCATCTGCTATGAACCTAAGGCATAGGCTCTTGTTCTCTTGTGGTTGTTGAAATGCCAGCCCCCTTCCTCCTAAAGCCCATATCCATTCTGATAGTCCCCATCAGCCATCTGGTATCAGACCCTGTTCATGGTCTTGGCATTAAGTTCCCTTTAAATTTCTGGCAGTTGGGGATTTCCTGTGCTTGATTTTGTTTTATCTGTTTATTTATTTATATGTTTATTTGAGAGAGAGAGCTAGAGCATGAGTGGAGGAGGGACAGAGAGAGAGGGAGACACAGAATCTGAAGCAGGCTCCAGGCTCCGAGCTGTCAGCACAGAGCCCGACACGGGGCTTGAACTCATGAACCATGAAATCATGACCTGAGCTGAAGTTTGACGCTTAACAGATTGAACCACCCAGGAGCCCCTCCTTTGCTTGGTTTTGAATTCACTTAAGTATCAGAACTTTTTGGGTTACATTTTATTTATTTTATTTTTATTAATTTTTCTTTTGAAAAAAATTTATAGAGAGGAGTGGGGGTAGAGGGAGGTAGAGAGAAGAGAGGAGAGAGGCACAGAGCCTAATGTGGGGCTCCATCCTGTGACCCTGGGATCATGATCTGAGCCAAAATCAAGAGTTGGATGCTCAACTGACTGAGTTACCCAGGTGTCCGTAGGTTGCATTTTAGATAGGATTTCCATGTTTGGAACTAGAAGGGAGTATGTGTATTGACACAGTCTACCATATTGCCTGGAATTTGTGCTTTCTTATTGGATAATGAAAGGTGACCACATTAGATGTATTTTTATAAACTTTTAAACCATTAGCCTTTGCTCATTCCAATTTCCTTTATTTTATTTAAAAAAAAACTTCAGGGATCAATTTGGAAAAAAAATAAAAGAAACAGAAGAAAACAATGGAAAAGCAGAACCCAGGGGACTGACGACCTGTTTGATGTTCTTGATGAGAGAGTGGAGGTCTCCAACTGTTGTCTGTGCTGAAGAAATGACACAAGGGTACACAGGGTCATGCCTACTATCTGTTATGCTCATTCTGGGTCCCCCAGGTAAGTGACTAGTCACATACATGTGAGCAGGAGCCATGTGGCTTTTTCTCTCTGGAGCTCAACATGTATATCATATGTCATTAGATATGGTGAAAGAGGAAAATAACAAACTGTGCTCTTACAGCAAGTTTGAAGTGACAGATGATCTGGTAGAGAGTTTCAAAAGATAGTGAAGGTTATAGGCTATGAGTATCAATCACTGGGAAAGAGAAGAAATTAACAGGGGTTATTATCATTGGAATTACATGTTTATATAACTGTGTCTTAGAGAAGAATAATCATGTGTAAATTGATTTGGAGGAAATGTACAGCTGGTTGACAGACCAGATGAGAAGATAGTCCTGTCCAGGACTATTCTAAAGATATTTAAGGTTTTTACTGTGCAGTTACTACTATGTTCCAGGCACTGTGCCAAGTGCTTTATGTTTGTTCATTTATTTCCTGTGAGGTAAGAATGGTTACTAATTACTCTATTTTAAAGATGAAGAAACTAGGGAAGAGAGTGATTCAGCAACATGCCTGAGGACCATGAGTAGTACATGATGGAGGTGGGATTTGAATCTGCATGACTCCAGAATCTATACCCTTAACCAAAACCCTTATACTAAATTAGGTTAATAATGTACAAGCAGGTTGAGTGTCCCCACAGGAAATCAGAAAGTTGGATCTGGAGCCAAGGAAGAGACTAGGTTAGAGTAAGAGGTATGAGGTCAACTGCATGGAGGTTATAGTAGGGAGAGTTATGGGGAGTCCTCACCCCTGATCTTTAAGTGGGTGTGTTTTATGACCCCAAAGTTGGCAGTTAGGGAGCAGGAGCAGCTGGTTAGGCCAAGCAAGCAATCCCAGATGGGAGAAAGAATGGGAAACAAGGACGAAGGCTCACCTCTGTTGGAGGTTTCATATATTGGGATTGACTTTCATGGAGGCTTGGGATATGATCTAAATAGTATATTGCCATTAAATGAAGGAAAACTCAGTATGTTTCTCTAAAGTATCTCTTGCCACTCTCCTCCTGTTTCTAAGTAGGGCTTCAAATTAGGAAGTGGATAGGAGAAGAAAAAGGAAGTAAATGAGAGAGAAAAACAAAGGAACCTTTTTTTTTTTGAACAAGTAGAAAGTGGATGCCCTAGGCTCGGTCACAAACACCTGGATTCCAGTTGGGACTTGGATTTGCTGGGGACACCAACCAGAGAGACAGGACCATGTGGCTGTCCCCAGCTCTGCTCTTTCTCTGCTTCTCAGGTGAGTGAGGCTGGGGCTTTGGGTACCTGGCATTGCAGGGGGCGGAACAGTGGGTAGAAGGTCTGTCCTGGGTTCAAGCCAGAAATGAAGTCTCAGCAGACAGGAAGGATACATTCATTCATCCATCTGTGTATCCTTCTATCTACTCAGACATTCATCTACAGATCCTGCACACTTATTGAGCACCAGCTGTGAGCCAGGACCATTCTGGGTACTGTCTTTAAGAGCAACTTCAGCAATCAGGAACTCATAGTTGAATGAGGGAGTCAAACCACTATGATACAGTGTAGAACTTGTTGTAGAAAGAGATTTATTTATATGGCATGAAGGTGGACAACAGGGGCCCCAAACTGCTCTTGACCAGATTCAAGTCTTCACTGAGCCTCCACTGGACATTGATCTTGAAGGATGAATAAATTAGCAGAGTGGAAAGTGGGAATAGCTTTTGCAAAAGTGTAGAGATATTAAAGATGATAGAAATTTCAAGAATTAGCAATAGTTCTATTTTGTTAGAAATTAGTTTAAAGGGGTTGGTAAGGTTTGTTAGTAGGAATTAATGAAGGGTCTAAAATGACATCCTTAGCACCCACCTCAAACCCTTGCTGGAACAATGTGTGGTGCAGGCAGATAAATAAAATTGTCCATTGAAGGTTGGAGTTTCAGAATAGAAACTCTTAAAAATAGGCATTCAACATGCATGAAAGCCCATTCTCTGTGGGAAGTAAGTTTAGGGTAAAAATTAGATGATATTCTTCATATTTGTAGAATAATATTTATGACATGGAACCTGCCCAACATAATCATGGACTGTTCCAGAATAGTGAGTGGAAAAGGCAGAGATTTGAAAGAAGAATACCAGCTGGGTGTTACTGGCCAAAACATAATTTACTTTTCAGTAACATGGGACAGTAGACGGGATCATCTTTAAGTCCCCGTAGAGCCCTTATAACCAAGATCTTAGACTCAGAAAGACATTTAAAAGACATACATCTCATTACACATGGGAGGTGCTCAAAATGTCTTAAATGAGGGTGATGATGATAATAGACATTTTCTAAATCACCATAATTAATGAAATGGACATCCAAAGCAGTAGTGGCTGCAGCTGCTCACAAGAGCTGATCATTGGCTTATCTTCCGAACCTTGTGTCCAGTGACAGCATGTTGTTGGCCTGAAATCGTTGTGGTGAGAGCATTTACACCACAGAAACTGGCAAACAGTACAAACAATGGCTTCTTCTCAACTCCCCTCACCCGCCTTGCTCCTCATCCAGCATATCATGGCTTGCTCACATCTGCTTGCTTAAATCTGATAAAATTGTTTAAGTACCCTAGCCTGGGTGCAATTAAACTGGACTGGAAACCTCTTCCCATGCCTTCACATGGACTGGCTGACCTCCCCAGCCCCAAGTGGGCTGACCCTTTCCACTCATTTGCAGTTAGGGTTCCTCTTGGGTCCAGATTACAACTTTGGAGTCGCTTATAAATTTCTGTTCTTTTTTTCATCCAGCTCCTGGCTCAGCTCCTTCCTGCTTGTCCCAGCCTTCTCCCACCCACCATATGCATTGTGGTTATAAACACCATTTAGAAAAATGTGGTCACTTTACATTTTTATGGAGGGGACCCCAAAGAATTGTATGGCTAGCCTGAGAGGGGAAGGTTGTAAGGAAAGATGGTGAGGCTCTGGGTACTGTGATGGGGGGTTGGCCTGGGGGAGGGCAGATTGTGCCCCAAACCTGTGTCAAGAAGCCTGTTAGGGTCTCCTTGGGACCCAGCTCTTCTCAGCAATTTGTCACTCCTCCCTCAAGAGTAGTCTGGATGAGAGTTGGGGGTTTACTTTTCCTCTCTTAAGAGCATGTGGAAAGCAGAGTAAACAAGAAGTTGTACTCTTACAGAACAAGTTTGAATTGCAGAAAACCTAGAATACAGAGCCTTCCTCCAAAGAGAAATATTTTTGTATGTGACTGAATTTCATACCTGACAAAGGCTGCCAATCTAAGAACAGGTCAGGACAGTCAGCTCACTCTGCTGAGAACTAGCTTTGTTCCGATTCTCCCTGTCCCCAAGGACCAGGATCCCCATGTGGTTGGTTACTCAGTGTTTCTGGACTCATAGAGCACAGGTCTCTACTCCTCTTGCTGGCTGTAGTCTCCAAACTTTTTTGCCCTAGGTCCTAAGCTCAGATGTCCCTCTAGGTCCCCATACCTGAGAATGGAACCATCTATACCTCCTTGGCAAGTTTCCCCTTTGTCTTTAGGCAGACAGCTGCTGATGGGTCCCATTGAGATGGAGTCCTGGGATGTGGCTTGTGTTTTCTAGGCTCTTTGTCCCTGATGGGCCCCAGCTCTGTGACAGGCACCTTGGGTGGTTCTCTGAGTGTACAGTGTCAGTATGAGGAGGACTACCGGACATATAAAAAATACTGGTGCCGAGGGCAGTCTGAGAGCACATGTGACAAGATTGTGGAGACCAATGTAGAAGAGAAGAGAGGTCGTGTGTCCATCAGAGACCATCCTGATAGCCTCACCTTCATAGTGACCATGGAGAACCTCACCGCAGAAGACACTGGATCCTACTGGTGTAGAATTCAGAAAACATGGTTCCTGGACATATGGTCATATGACCCTTCGGTCCAGGTTAATGTGTCTGTTTCTCCAGGTAAGAGATCTTCTCACTCCAGCAGCCGAGCTTATGGGACATGATTGAACATGGGGACAAAGATAGGTGCCATGCTGAAGAGTGTCTTTAGGTCTTGTCTAGTCCTCAGTCCCAGTGGTGTTGGGAAGAGCCTATGATGAGGGCAGAGAGGCAGCTGACCCTTTAACCTTGGAAAGGGTGGGGGTGCATAGCTCAAGGTGCCCTCACTCTCATAGGACAAGGGCTTCACTCCATTGCTTGGGAGGCCCCTCCATGCTGGACCAAGGCTATTTCCACCATACCCTTTAGAAACCTGCATCAAAGGAAATAAACTCTTTGTATATACATCTTCAGCTTGTGCGCAGAACATTCCCTGTACTATACTGTCCTGAAATTAACCTTACTCCTCACATTTCACGAAATAGGCTTCTTGAGTGGAAGCTGCTTTTTCTCCTACTCCCATGTGCTATAGGGCCATGAAACCATGTCCAAATTCTCCCACATCCTCATTACTTTCAACCTACTACTGTCCTACCTGTCTCCTTTAGCATTTGTGTCATATAGCCACACCCTCCTACCTCTCCTTTGCATGGCCTTCCATTATCTTCTAGTTTATTCCCTAATCCCTGCCATTGTCTTGGGAGTTTTTAACGAATAACTAGTCCAACATCCTTTTCTTGGGTTCCATGACCTTCCTGACTGCAGTGGTCTGCATTTCCACTCCCCAGAATCCCACTCCATGGCAACATTGTACATCTTGCTGTCACCCCAAACTGGTCCATGTCCAGAACCCACACTCAGACTTTGTACTTTTGGACAGCTTTCTGTGCATCAGCCTTCCCATATCCTCACCCCTGCTGGCCCTATTCTCAACCTCACATATGCCTCCAGTTCTTTCATCCCTCTCTCCATTCTCTCCCCATTTATCACTACCTGCTCCTGCCCTGATCTCACTTCCTTCCTCAACTCTCATGGAAGACTACATTTTCTTTCCTTTCCTTTCCTTTCCTTTCCTTTCCTTTCCTTTCCTTTCCTTTCCTTTCCTTTCTTTCTTTCTTTCTTTCTTTCTTTCTTTCTTTCTTTCTTTCTTTCTTTCTTTCTTTCATCTTTTTTTTTTTACAAATAGTTTATTGTCAAATTAGTTTCTACATAACACTCAGTGCTCATCCCCAAAGTGCCCTCCTCCATGCCCATCCCCCCCTCCCCCCCACATCCATCAGTCCTCAGTTTTTGTCAGCATTCAAGAGTCTCTCATGGTTTGCCTCTCTCCCTTTCCCCCACCATTTCCGCCCTTCTTCTCCCCCTTGTTCCTCCGTCAAGTTCCTCCTAATCCTCCTATACGTGCAAACATATGATATTTGTCCTTCTCTGCCTGACTTATTTCGCTCAGCATAACACCCTCAAGGTCCATCCATGTTGCTACACATGGCCAGATTTCATTGTTTCTCATTGCCATGTAGTATTCCATGGTATAGATAAACCACATCTTCTTGATCCATTCATCTGTTGATGGACACTTAGGCTCTTTCCATGTTTTAGCTATTGTGGAGAGTGCTGCTATGAACATTGGGGTACACGTGCTCCTATGCCTCAGCATTTCTGTATCCCTTGGGTAAATTCCTAGCAGTGCTATTGCTGGGTCATAAGGGAGTTCTATTGTTAGTTTCCTGAGGAACCTCCACACTGTTTTCCAGAGGGGCTGTACCAGTTTACATTCCCAGATGGCGGAGAAGTAAGGAGCTCCGTACTTGCACTCGCGCCCATACATCACACAGAAAAGATCTGAAGACATTGGAAACCTTACAAAACCTGAGAGATTGGGAGAAAAAAGACGCAGAATCCACTGAGAGAGCCTTCTTTCTTTCATCTTTTATTTATTTCTGAGAGAGAGAGAGAGAACGTGAGCAGTGGAGGGTCAGAGAGAGAGGGAGACAGAATCTGAAACAGGCTCCAGGCTCTGAGCTGTCAGCACAGAGCCCGACGTGGGGCTCGAACCCACGAACCCGTGAGATCATGACCTGAGCCAAAGCCGGATACTTAACCAACTGAGCCACCCAGGCGCCCCTACATTTTCTTTTCTTATCAGTACCCTCCACTCTTGTGCACCATTTCTCTACCCACCTCTCGAAAACCTCATTCCTGGATCCATCTTAAAATTAGGGTGACTGACCATTGGGGTTTGCCCAAGACTGACAAGTTCCTTGGGATGCACAACTTTCAGTGCTAAAACTGGAGAAGTCTCAGGCAAGCTAGGGCAAACTGATGCCCTACCTAAAATCTATCTCCTCTAGTACTGCTGAAGAACAGTCACAGAAGGCATCGATGGGTGTCAACACAAGTTCATGGTTTCAAATATGACCCTCCCATTCTTCTACCTTACCAAGGGAGTACAAGATATCAGATGTGAACTCTCTCAATTTCTTTTCTTCTTCCCTTACAAACTTCCGTGCTGCCTAACTCATTCTTCCCTCTTTCCCTTCCAGATGGAAGGCAGTTTGCTTCCTCCCGTTCAGGAACAATCATCCTGATGCTGGTTTCTCACTCTGTAGCTCCTTGCCTCCTCATTCCCTTGAGCCAAATCCTCTCTCTGCTCTTCTGTATCCTTCTTCCATCAATTATCCACACTCTTCACCTCAGCCTGGAAACACACTCCTGGCCTAAAACTGTCTTGTAATCCCTGTGGCCTCCGCAAGGTGTCACCATCCCTCATCTCTCTTTGATTGCCTGGAAGGTAGCTGAGGTCCACATCCTCCTTTGTGCGCCTGCTGCATCTGATGGAGTTCCACCCCTGTGCCCACTTTCTATTGACCTGATTCAATCTATTTAGACTTGCCCCTGCCCCTCCTCCCTCTGGTGCCCCTCGTCATCTGGGGAAACCCCTGAGAGACTCCTGCTGTCACCCCAGGCAGAGTCAGACCTGGGATGGAAAGAAAGACCTGGCACTTATTAGAGGTAGCTCTTACGACCAGTTCTGAAAAAGTCTCATTTGGTCCCTGAGGAGCTCGCTCCATCCAGGAGGTGGCCTGGGTTTAGCTTCAGAGTTCCTCCTGTGAGTGGGTGATTGTGTGCAACATTGGGTCCAAATGGGTACTTTGTGCGTGGCTAGGGAGAGAGCAGCATCTGATGTGTGATTTGTCTGTAGCACCAAGTAAAACCACAGGGAAGACCGCATGTCGAGCTGCATCTGACACCTTTCCGGTGCTGAGCACCAAACAGAATTTCAGCGCCGAGGTGTTGACCCACTGCTCGGGGTAAGGGATTGCAGCCTAGAGATCACAGAGGAAGAGGTTCAGCAACCTTATGGGATCTTTGGGGAGGCTGGCAACACACCATGCTCTTTTTAGCTCACTGTCTGCTGGGTTTTCTTCCAGTTCTGGCCCTGATTTTTACATTCTCCATGGCTGCATGGAGATTCCTCATGGAAAATACCACTTATTCAGTGAACACTCTCCCATGTGGGACAGCTACAGGGAAACAGGAGGCTGGTTCAGGGGGACATGCAGCTCCTCCCATACCCACCCTGCCCCCTCTTCTTCCCCACATGGTTCTGGACTCTGGGTTCTGGTTCTGTCCTCCCAACCCGGGCTTGCCTTCAAAGGCCTTGGCTGTACCAGAGATCCTATACCAGGCACTGCTTGCGGGGTCCAGGGCAGGGAGATGTACTGGCTCCAGGCTGTTTTCCTTCTCCTAAAGATACCCGGAAAGGGCTGTGATGTTTCTGTCAGGCCCTGCAGAACAGAGGACAAGGGTCAGGACTTTAAAGTGAGAATGGGGGTGGCTTTCATGATCAAGGGAGGGGAAAGGATGGGGCTCCAGAGAGATGCTGCCCTGGTGTGTGTCCTTTCCAAGTTTGATCGGAGTGATTTGAGTTCTGAAGTCAGGGCACAGGGACAGGTGGGGAGAGAAGGGTCCTGTGGGCCTCCCCCTGAGGAGGCAGCTCACTTCCTGTCCCTATTTCCTGCACAGGTCCTCATTTAGCAACGTCCACTTGCTGCTCCTGGTCTTCCTGAAGCTGCCCCTGTTCTTGATGTTGGTGGGTGCTGTCCTCTGGGTGAACAGGCCTCTGAGGGGCCCTGGGGGAAGTCAGCCTGACAAAGAGAAGCCATCATGTAGTAAACTGTCTCCAGGAATGCCCTGTCCAGGAATACAATCCTTCAGACAGAATAGGAGAGACCTTCAGACTCTGGACTCCAAGGCAGGCGGACAGAAGTGCCTGGATTCTGGAGGGGCCTAAGTCTTCTGGGGATCTCGTTCCTGTGTCTCAAGGGAGAATCCTGGGCCTTGGATGACACTTGCTCCAAATCCGCAGGTGCAGGATGGATGAGTCTCCTGGGCCAGTGTTTGGGGTCCTCTTCTTCTGTCTCAGATCCCCTGGCCCTCATGCCTATCTCTCAAGGGCAAGAATTCTCTGGAAGTTTCTGGAAAGTCCAGCCCTTCACTCCTCTCATTGCCACAAAATCTTCTCAGCTCAGTGTCCCCCAGGGTAATAACCACCTCCTTTCTGCAGCCAGGTGGCTCCCTGAGGACTTGCTCCTCATAGTTTCAGTCCTTGGGCTCAACAAGGCTTCAACCTCACTTGTGTCCCTGTGACCAGAGAATGTGTGCTGTACTCAAGCATCTCTGCCTGGGCCGGCCATGGCTGAACAGCTTTCGGTTAAAGCTCTGGATCTGGTTGGAGCAGAAGTGGGTGCCCCCAATATCACTCCCGGAATTCTCCACCCTGGTGAGTCTCCTGCACACAGGGCCGGTGGGTAGTCCACTGTAGCAGAAGTCTGGCTGAAGCCACCTATCAACACTTGGTGCTTTCCACGGAGAAGTAGACAGTCTCTAAAGACAAGGTGCAGGACACAGACATGAGGAGATACCTCCCCACATAGTGTTGGCACAATGCCACAGCTACCATGGGACACACCAGCCTGAGAAAGGGCTCTCTTGGGTTTGAATGCTTGTCAACAGCTTTCTCCCTGAAGTTTGCAGCAAGGTGCATAGTCTGTTACAAACACGTATCACCATGTTCACTCAACTCCTTGTGTGTAAAACAGCCCTCTCCTCTCTGCCAAGCCCAAGCCTTCCCTCAGCTAGTGATGCCAGTTTCCAGAAAACACTCCGAGTTCCTGAGCACTGAGTTTGCAAGCAGGGCTGCCATGTTCAGAACCCAAATCCTGGCATGGCTCCCACAAGGGCAGGGCCGTTTGTGGCACCTTGAGGAGAGCTGGGACTGGCCCAGGACTCCAGTGAAGGAGAAATTCAACCAAGGAGGCACATACTTACTATATTAATAAAACACAGACGGGGCGATATAGGAAACACAATGATGGCAAGAGAGAAGCTTATGATGCACTTTATTCTGTTTCAAAATTATTCCAAGCAATCTCGTTTCTTTACCTTTCCAGATAAATTTTTGAGTAAGCTTGTGTGTAGCTACCAAAACAATTTTGTTGGTATTTTGATTGGAATCATATTAAACTTACAGATCAATACTGGGAAAATTGACATCTTTACTATGTTGAGTGTTCCAGTCCATAAATGTGGTATCTCTTGCAATTTATTTAAGTGTTCCTTGGCTTCACTCACCAGTGTTTTGTAAATTTTAGTATCTGGATGTTGCATGTGTTCTGTTAGATTTATACCCAAGTATTTTGTCTTCCTTTCGAGCACTCGTGAACAGCACTGTGCTTTTCATTTAATTTTCTACATGTTCATTGATAGTTTACAAATAGGATTGTGTGTGTGTAGGTGTGTATATGTGTGCACATGTGTATGTTTATGTGTGTATGTATATGTGCTGGTGTATGTGTGTGAGGGTATGTATGTGTATGCATGTGCATATGTGTGTGAATGTATGTGTGTGCATGCATGTGTCTCTGTGTGTATGTGTGTGCATGTGTGTGTACACATGTGTGTAGGTGTGTGCGTGTGTGATTGTGTGTGAGTGAATGTGTATGCATTCGTGTGTGTTAGTGTGCATGTGTATGTGTGTGTCTCTGTGTGCATGTGTGTGTGTGTATTGATCTTTTATACTATGACTTGTTACATTCATTTACCAGTTCTAGCAGTTTGGTAATTTTTTTTTGTAGATTCCTTAAGATTTTCTTTTTCTTTTTCTTTTTCTTTTTTTTTAATAGTTTTTACTTATTTTTGAGACGGAGAGAGACAGAGCATGAGCAGGGTAGGGGCAGAGAGAGAGGGAGACACAGAATCTGAAACAGGCTCCAGGCTCTGAGCTGCCTGCACAGAACCCAATGCACGGCTCGAACCCATGAACTGCAAAATCATGACCTGAGCTGAAGCCACTCAACCGACTGAGCCACCTAGGCGCCCCTCCTTGAGATTTTCTACACAGTTATGTTGTCTGCACATAGGACAATATTATTTTTTCCTTCCTAATCTGTGTGCTTTAATGGAGTCCTGGAAGACGTAGGAGCCCCCAGAAGGTCTCACACACACTGATGACCATGCGGAGCATGTAGCATCATAGACCCACTGTTTCCCGGCATTTCTGCTTTTAAAAGAGAAGCCAGAAGAGAAATCGCTCACGTTTGCATGTAGGCAACAACCTCCACTTAAATAAATATTGTGATCCAAACAAAACATATTTGTAAGTGGATGCAATTCACGGATGTGCAGAGCGCCATTGTGTCCCCCAGTATTTACACTGGGTCCATATGGTGCCCCAGCAGGCTTGGGGACTGACCTTCCCAGGGCACAGACGGACTTGCAGGATGGTGGTGTGGACCTCCTTGGGGCAGGTCCAAGTCTGCTCCCTGGCCTTATGACTGGGGGCCCAGGTCTCAGCCCCTCTGGGCCCCCAATTCTTCAATGTGATGCAAAGGAACTATGTTAAGATTCTTCCATGTGGCAGCTCTAAAACAGGGCTATAAATTTGTTGACATTCCTGTTATTGAGAGTTGGGAGTATGTACCCTCCCCTTGAGTCTGTGTGGACCGGGGCTGTACAGCCAGTAGCCTAGAGCAGATTCCCAACTTTCCCCCATAATTATCTTCCTAAGGAGCCTGCTTAGACATTTTCTTTTACTAGAACCACTCCTCCCCAATGGGTATGAAATTTTAAAGCCAAAGATACTATATATGCCTATGTTCTATATATCGATTAATTGATCCATCTATCAACTGATCATCTATGTTTTATATAGAAAAATAATTTTTTGGTATAAAAACAACATTTTTTTTTACCCTCCAAAAAAAGTGTTCATTCCCATCAGACAACGGAATGCATGGATAGAGTATGGCGACAGTGACGCTGTGTGGCTTCTGAGGCCAGGCCCAAAGGAACCTATAGCTCCATCCTCCGCCTTTTGAAACACTTGCTCTGGAGACTTACTTCTGAGAACTCAGCTCCACGTGGAGAGGCCTCCTGTAGGATTTCAGGTCAATTATGGAGACTGAGCTCAGTCCTGGCGTATATTGCAGACATGCTGAAAAGAAGCTTCCAGATGCCCCCCCCCCCCATCATTATGTCTTCCCAGCTGAGGCCCCAGACTTTTGGAAGCAGACACAGGCCGTCCCTGCTGCACCATCCCTGATGCACTCCGTCCGAATTCCTGACCACAGGATCTGGGACATGACAGAACTATGGCTGTTTTGTGCCCCACGGAAGATCTAAGCAGAGAGAACTGGACATTCCAGCCCCAGGCAGGATGGTTCAGAGGAACACGCTGCCTCTGCTGGCTGCACAGCGGGCTGAGGGGAGGCCCCTGGGAGACTCAGCCCTGCGGTGGGGACCTGGGGCTGGACTCCCCAGGGGGTGACGCACCCAGGCTGCTGGGCCTGGAGGTCTTGCTCTTTCCTGAGGTGCGAACCAGAACCGTGTGGGCTGGAGCTGTGAGCACTGGCGGGAGGTGTTCCCCACAAGAAGCCACCTGCTGCTGCAGAACACCCCCTCCCCCCGCCCACACATACTCCCTCTGCAGAGCTGAGACCACATTCAAAGGAAGGTTCTAGTTGAAAGTGAACCACACTTTTCCTAAAGGATGGATGCAAGGAGACAAACACATCGCCAGCACAATGCAGCTGGAGACAGGTCAAGACATGTCTCTGAAGGCAAGAGAAATAAAAACAAAAATGAACTTTTGGAACCTCATCAAGATAAAAAGAATGGGTGATGGGCATTGACGAGGACACTTGCTGGGTTGAGCACTGGGTGCTGTATGTAAGGGATGAACCATGAAATCTACTCCTGAAGCCAAGACTACTCTGTATGTCAGCTAACTTGACAATATATTATTATTTTTTTTAAATTCAGCTGGAGAACTTGCTTCGTGAGCAGCAGGGCTACCGCACACAGGGAAGGAGCCCAGACAGCCAGTTCTGCTCAGTCTCAGCGAAATTATGGACAACATGACCTCTCTAAAGAGGAGCTCAGAAAAGAGATATAGATCCCCAAAATGGTTCAAGATAAAATATATAACAAAAAAATAACAGACAGAGCCCAGGAAGAGTGTGAGTAGAAAAGAAAAAAAAAACAACCCCAAAACCAAAATGGTTATTGAGAAGAAACATGTATAACTTTGAAAATTAAAAAGAAAAGGCTTGTGTTGTTAGTTTTTGATGAGTGAGTGGGAGGAAGTTAAACACGAAGGGCCCAGCATCCTGGGTTTTCGTTGCTCAGCTGGTGTGAGGTGGAGGCAGGGGTTAGGAGTGTAGGGGGATGGAAAGGCCAAAGCTCAGGCCAAACCCAGGAGTGGGTGATGGTGGGTCTGAACTGCCTGGGGGATGGACAGCGTCACAGGTGAGAAGGGGATAGATCTGTTCCATCTCGATGGAAAAGTCCAAATGGTCCCTGGAGCCGTTATGTCTTGCACCTAAGGACCAGTGAGGCCAAGGGACAAATGGAGGGACAGAAATGAACTGTTCTGGTGACAACTGGGTGAATCCCCTGTGCTTGGATGTAGATACAGGGCAGGAATATTTGCGTTATTTCAAAGCCCCTCCCTACAAAACACTTATTACTTACAGAGGGAAAAAGAGTAACTTCAATGAGTTTCGACACATTTATACCCCCAATCTACCAGTTCCCAGACATATTCTGATTCTAGTGTTGGATTTAGAGTCACTTCCCACCCTCTAGAATCAAAGGGTTATCTTCTCACATATAAAACATTGAAAGAGTGTCCCACCAAATAATCTCCAGGGAGTGCAGGAAAGCCAAATATTTTAATAGAGGATGTATGGCGCAAAGAGATTAGGTGCAGGTTGGGTGATGGTCCAACCCGGTCTTCAATCTTTTATGTTCAAGGAATTCTTTCTCGGAGGCACCAATGCGGCAGAAGGTAGAATCAGTGGACCTCTGTGCAGCTGGCCAATCAGAGGTCTTTGTCCATGTGGACACACTCTGGAACTTTTTGGTTTAACCCAGGTTTTATGCTTACTGGTTGGTCTGGAATTGGAAAACCCATCATTGGCCAGAGTTCTGAACAATGTAATAGTTATTTATCCTTGGCAGAGCCACTTGAGGGTCATAAGGAGAGGCGGTACCAGGAGGATCCACACAGGAGGATTCTGTGCTGCTACATTGAAGACCAAGTTCCCCGACCTGTGCAGAGCAGTGAAGGAAACAGTTTATTCCTGACATCAGGACAAGGGGAGTCCTCACCTAACAGGGACCCCCACCTGTCTTGGAAATGTAATCACTGCCCATTCCCTGATGAGAGCTCAGAGGGTGTGGGGGTGTCCATGGCGGGGGTCTGTGGTTCTCCTGCTCAGGCTGACGTATCCTCCCTGGAGTCCTCATGACTCCCCACATCACAGTCACAGCAGGACCCAAGCAGGGGCAACTTCACAAAGGTCAAGAGCACAAAGTGAAGGTTGTGAAGCAAGGCCCTGAGCAGGGAATGTGGTGACAGGAGTGAGGTCCCTCTTCAGGGGCTGCTCCAGGCCCTTCCTGTCCACCCTCACTCCTGTGCCCAGATCTGGAGGACAGGCAAACCCCGTCTCTGCCTGAAAGTCCCTCTGAGGGCAGAGCCATGCTGCCCAAGGTGGAATATTCAGAGGTCTCCCAGCAGCCTTAGCCTGGGCTCCAGCACTTCTGTGCCCTGATTTCATTTTCTGCTGCCTCCCAAAAACCTCTCTGCCTCACCAGCAGACCAGCCAAAAAGGCTCAAGGGTTTGCCTTTGCCTGTCTATTTGAATCTCTGTCTGTCCTATCTTACATAAATTCTGCCTGTCCTTCAAGCTCGGATCTCATATTACCTCTTTGAAGCAGAAGAAAATCCCTCACCCTTGTAGGCTGGCTGAATACCTTCTGGCTTCTCTTGGGAGGGGTCTCTCCTGGATCTGAACCCCATCTGGTAGCACATAGGAGGTGCACTACCTCCTACACCCTGGACAGTGGACACGTGGTCTAGTGGACCATTGGACCCTTGCTCACATATGGTATCCAAGAGTCTGATGCCCTCACCCTCTGCCTCATGCTCTCCCCCACAAGCAGTTCCAGGACCCCCATGCAGGCCAGGCTGTTTTTAAATTCTGCTTGCATTGTTCATGATGTGTCATGTCCATTTCACAGGGAATTTTCTTTAGAGAGAAGACATGCTCCATTACACTTCCTGAAATTACCCTTGAACTCACTGTGCTCTGTTCCCAAGTTCCAATCCCAGTGGGGTTGTGGCCCCATCTCTCCACCTGCAGCTTCCACCTGCGCCCTGCAGTTTCCTAAAAGTCCTGCATCCTCCCCTCCTACTCAACAAAACAACTAGTCTCCAAATAGTCATAAGCAGGACAAAAGCCAGTGGTGAAGCATGAGCCAAGTGCCTGGCCTCATTTGCACACACGATTGAACACATTGTCCAGCGGGGCCAAGCTACAAGGAATAGGGTCCTTGAGAATGGAAGCAAGAAGGAGTGGAGCTGGAAGGGAGGCCATGGAGAGGGTTTCTGGGAGGAAATTCACCTTTACCCTGAACTCTGATGGGGTGAAACTGGAGTAGGGTGGTGTTTACCCTTTGAGGGAAGAATTAATTGATTGTTTTTTGGATGCCTGTTGAGGGAGTGGGCTTCAGGTTGATGGCCCAGCCTCTCTGCCATGTTGGGAATGTGAGAAAGCAGGAATGCGAGTTTTCCACTCCTTCCCGGCATTTCCCGAGCATGTGAGGAGGGGAGGGGAGGGCACCCTCCTCAAAGATGTCCTAATCCCAAGACCTGTGAATGTGTTAGATTACATGGCATGGAGGAAATAATGACGCAAACGGATTTAAGATTGCCAACCAGCTGACCCTGAGATGGAGAGGTGATCCTGGGATATCTGGGTGGTCCCTATGGAATCACCAGCATCTTCATAAATGAAAGGAAACAGGAGAACCAGTGTGAGAGTAATGTGGGTGAGCAAGACTTGGCCACCCCTGCTGGCATATGGAAGAGACCATGAGCCAGGGATGCAACGCCCTTCAGAGGCTGGAAAAGACAAGGAAGTTCTTCTCCCTTAGAGCCTAGGAGGAACCAGCCCGGCCAGCACCTTGAGTTTAGCCCAGTGAGACTCATCCAAGACCTTGACCTCCAAAACCTTAAGATCATAACATCGTTTTGTCTTCAGCCACCAGGGTGGTGGTGATTTGCTCCAGCAGCCACAGGGAGCTAATCCAGAGCTTGTCCCTTCTGGCAACTGGAGGCTGAAAGCACCTGTGTCTGTTTTGGATTCTTGGGGGTCAGGAGGCAGGTCTGAAGGAGACCAGAAACTTCTCTCCTGCAGCCCAGCTGAACAACTTTGCTTAGGTTTCTGGTGGGGAGGGGGAGCTCTTTAAGGACTCAGAGGTATAAAGAGGGGGTCCCAGTGTAGATTTTTCTGTTTCTCCCCTGCACAGGAAACATCCAAGGGGACAATGGGGGTCCCTGTCAGAAAACCCTGAGGGGAGCTGTCCCAGGGCAGCAGTGGGAAATGTCTGTGGGGTCCAGCTCTGCTCACCTGCTGTGGGGGTTGGTCAGAACAGTGGGCTGGCTGCTGTTGATGCCCTGGGTAAATGGACGCGAGGAAGCTCGACTGGCTGGTTTTGTTGTTGCCACAGTCTGGGGAGGGTCTGTTGGATCAAGGGCTAAACACACAGAGCAGAGCAAGGTTCTGAGTGTCACAGATGGATGTCATGGTCTTCTCCACACCCTACTCCCAGGATGCAGAACCTTTCTGTCTTATGCCACTGCCCAGCCATTTTGGTCTTCTCTTGCATCTTTTTGGTTTCTTATCTCAAATATGAATACATATTTGCAGAGAAACACCAGTTTACCACCACGTGAGGGATTTTCAGTGGTAGGCATAGTCTTAGGCGAGTTTTGAGACTCCCCTCCATCCATTGGGGAAGGCAGAGGAACAGTCCTGATTCCTCTGGGGGGTGGGTCCCAGGGCCCTGGAGCATAGGAGGGGTAGTACCTACCTGGGTCAACATCCACGTAAACTTTGTACCCCAAGTCATTGCCAACTTTCTCAATCCCACACCAGTAGGTGTCTGCGTCATCATACCAGAGATCCTCCAAGGTCACGGTGAATATGCGTTGGCTGTGATTGTCCTGGATGGACGCTCGGCCATTCTTCACCAGTTGTTCTGACCCGGTGCTTTTAACAAGGATTTTGCAGGAATCCCAGTCATACCCACGACACCACCACTTTTTGTAGGGTTCCCATCCCCGCCCGTAGGTACAGTGCACGGTCAGTGTGCCCAATGCTCTGCCTGTTGCCATTCTCATCACGCAGGTGGAGAAGTGGGCTAGAAAACAGAAAGCCAACATGCATCTTGTTGTTCCTTGAGCCCAGGGCTAACCTGGGAGCTGCTGGGTCTTCTGGCCCTGCTTTAAAGACCAGCCAGGAGCCTCTGCTCTCTGTCTAATCGCCACGTCCCTCCTATCCCTTCATCCCCTGCAGGACTTCTTTTCTGTCACCCCTCTTGTGAATCCCCCTTGAGCCTCCTAACTGTCCAATACGGGGGCCCCCACTCACGTGCCATCCTACTGACCACCGTCCCCTGCCCGCCCTCAAGCAGCAGCTCTTCCTGGTAGCACAGAGCACACATTGCAGCCACAGGGGTATTTCTGAATCCCAGAGCTTGTGAGGCAGTGTGGGTCCCTCTGCATCTGTGCCCTTGATAAACTAGCCCCCCTCACCCCCAAACCCTCAGCCTCTGAATTGACACGTGGCACAGAAGTAAACACACACACACACACCAAACACGCTCACTCACACAGGTGATTGCTTGTTTTTTAATCTATACACCTTGTTCTTCTGTGTTTCCATAACTTTATGCAAGCTGTTCCCTCTGCCTGGAATGTGCTTTCTTCTCTGCTTGAAGGAACCAAACCTTTATATTCATATATCAAGGCTCATCTCCAAGAGTGTCTTTTCTATGGTTTGTCTGTTTCTGCAGCCAATTCAGTCATTGCCAGTGCAACCAGAGCCCTTTGTCCCTGTCTCGGGTGTTGTGCTAATGACACTGGATGAGGTTTGTCTTTAGATCATGCAGAGCAGAGACCTAGGCAGGCTGATGTGTGGGGATGAGCAAGTCCTCCATAGAGGCTGTCACACCCTGGTTTTGCTGCCTGTCTTCTTTCCCACTGTCTGAGCTCTTCAGAAGAGAGGATCCTGGCTCAAGCTTCAAGTCAAGACCAGCTATGTAAGTTTTTAAATGATCCAGATACCTGAACTCCACCTTGACTGAATACATCTCTGCTGGAGCCTGAGCATCTGTGCTTCTTCAGAGTTCCTCAGGTATTCATGCATTCATGTATGTGTACATGTGTGTGTGTGTGTGTGTGTGTGTGTGTATGCTCACATCTATCTATCATCTGTCTATCCATTCATCCATCCATCCATCCATCCATCCACCCACCCATCATCTGTCTATCCTTCTCTCTGCCAGGGCTGGGAAACTGCCTAGAAAACAAACACTGCGTTATTTATTTTATTTCCTTTCCCCATCATTTAACTTAGTACCTTTAAGGTAACAAAACTTAAAAAGTTTTTAAAATACTAAGTGGATGAATGAAAGGCCCTGCCGTCTCTCTCAGGACAGACTCCATCTGTGTCCCACCCTGATCCTGCAGGTGCTCAGTCCCAAAGCCCCCGCCTCACTCACCTTGGCTGATGAGAAGGAACAGAACTGGGAGCAGCCGCATGTCCTGTCTCCCTGGTGTTCAGCAAATGCCAGCTGTCCTCCGGGGACTGAACTGAGCACAGAAGCAACCTACTGTGTCTTCTTCTAAATTATCCTTTTTTAGTTTCTCTCATCTAAATTTTTTCTTCAGTTACTTCTTAATTTCATTTATTTCGTGAAAAGCAGTAACGACCATTGGGAGCATATGGTTGATGTGATGAGGGTTCCCCACTCCTTGCTCCAGCCTCTCAACTCAGCACCCCCTGGAGTCTGACCCTGATGATCTGCTCTCCGGGGAGGGTCTCTGGCCACCCCCCTGCCAGCACCACCTCTAGTCTGTGCGCACCTACTTCCTGTCGTCCCCTCCCCGCCCCCATCTCCCAGCGAGGTTCTCCATTTTAAAGGCTATTGGCATATTTGTGGAGCTGTCCACCCTGTTAGCAGCTCACATGTGCTCCAAATGGCATTTCTTGTCATCTTCACTCTTAAAGTCAATCTGTCCCAACACCTGGTCCCTGGGCCCAGGGCTCCCTCTCCACCTGCCCCCACCACGCTAGTCTTCCATAGACAAAGGCCATGGGATCTTCTCTCTGCCACCTGCCACCCTCAGATGACCTTGCTGGGGTGGGGAGCTTGGAGGTAGAACAGCCCAGGGCTTTGCCAGAGGAGTAGTAGGAGAGGGTGAGGCGGGCCAGCCCTGGGAGGGAAGGGGAGCAAAAATCCCTGTCCCCTTCAAGGTCCTTCTGGCTGGACTAAGAAGCAAATTGACATGAGACAGATTAACAAGAGAAAATCATATTTAATAGCATACGTGCAGGGAGTCCACACAGACATGGCAGTCAGGCAAAAGAGGCACCAATGTCATCCCGAATTAAGGAGAAGGGGGTAGGGGTCTGAGATTACCAAAGAAAGGAACCCAATTTACAGGAAGATGAAACCAGTAAATGTTCGGCGCACAAATGTTTGCCTTGCCAGATAGATGGGTCATACTCGGATCAAATTTAAATTTAAACTTCTCTGAAGTTTCACACATTAACAGTTGTGCTGGTACGTGTTTCTTTCCAGTGAACCAGTCTATTCGTCCAGACAGTAGGTCAGTTTATACAAACTCATTCCAGAAGGCAGTGATGCAGATGTATTCACAACATTAGGCCTGTGGTCCAAGTAATCATGTATGAAACAAGAGGCTTTTCTATGGAAACACAATGGTTCTGAGGGGATCAAATGTTAAGCCAGTTTCTGAGTTGTGAGGGCAGCAGGTGGAGCAGACTTCTAGATGTTGGACTCGGAGCATCTCAGATAGAGTGAGGGCAGGCTGTGCAAGCAGACAGATCCTCCGGGTTTGTAGTTCAAGTGTGTCTGGTGCTTTCTGCTTGGCCCCCCAGGCGATAGGCACAAAGATTGTGTATGTGTGAGCTAGTGTGGTGATTTCTCTAAGTTTACGTAAGTGGTTTACATTTAGTTGTCAGAACTTCAGGAAAAGGATAGTTTTTGTTCTAAAGGATCCAACTCAGAAAGGTGGGAGAAAGCTCAAAATGTCTGTTTGGAGAGTTGTAGCCAGGCGGTAGAAGACACTAGAAGAAATCAGGACCAAATCCAGTGTATAATGTATAGTAATAAAATCTAAAATGTACAATGATGTGTTGTTGAGACATATTTTCTCTCTATAATCACCCTCACTTTGACCAAGATAACCAAATCAACACAAGTTTGTTTGCAAAATAAGTCATTTCCAATAAAACTTGGCCTGACTATTTACAAAAGTACAGCAAGAATTGTAGTTGACTCTTTAAACCTGCTTTGCTAGAAGTTTTCAGAAGGAATCTCCAGGTGAATTTTAACAACCTCTTGAGGCCAGGAGCCAAGCCAATTGCTTGCCATCAGCCTTTGGCTGCAATGTGTATAGATTTGGGTGAATTCCCCTCTTTTCAAGGTTTCCCCAAACATCCCGAGGTTCCTGTACCTGCCAGGAAGTGACTTCTTTACTCACCTGGTAAGGCTGCTGGAACTCTGTAAACAAGCTATCAGTCTGATATTCCCAAGGGGCTTTATTGGCTCCATGAAATCAGCCTGAGTTCCTTAAAGCTTTTCGGTCACACGTGAGCCTATGCATGTCTCCCCCAAATATGGCATTCCAGTCCAAGCCTTGGTAATACAGGCAGTGCTTCTCATTGTATCCTGTCATAGAGAGAACAGATTCTTATTGAAGCAAATAAATACATTGCCAGAAAATATATGAATACTCACTGAGAATGTCTGATCTCTGGAGGGTTCAGGTAAAGAAAAAAGAGAAATGTTTCAATTTGTTCACAAGGGTACATTTTATCAAATTATTGTAAGTAACTTAGCTTAAGAGACAAAGTTTCCTTAAATCTGCAAACACACAACATTTGAAAAAAGTACAAATGTTTCATACAAAAAGTCATAAAAAGTATAATTGTCTTTCACAAGTCATTCAGAGTCATGTTATTAATTTTGGTTCTTCTTGAATCAGTTTTTCCACTAGTTCTGGAAACTTTTACTTCATTCAGATTTCACATCTAGAGGTTATTAGAAACCTGTACTCACAATTTTTCCCTGAATCTCCTTGATAATGAGGCACATTTGCTCTTGTAAGGAGGCATCTGAGTACAAGTATTACTGTCTATAAATAGGCAAAGACTTAAAAATGGTCATGCTAAGAGATTTGCATAGAGTTCCTGCCAGTGTAGCCAACATACAACACTCCCAGATAATATCATATGAGGTCATCAGATTTGTAGGAGTTTCATATAATTTTAGGACACAATTTTATTTTATTTTATTTTTATTTTTTTGAAAATGTTAAAAACTACATCTTTATTACAGTAAGCTGTTTATTAACTATTGTTCATATTCACATTCAAGTGCATGTGAATATGAACCTTGACACAACCTTGACTGTGTTTAAATTAACCTCCCTTTTTCTTGGGTCATTTTCTCAAATTATACCCATGGGAGATTAAGTTCCCTTTTTCTTGGGTTATTTTCTCAAACTACAGTAACTTATGTTACTGAAGATTAACTGTGCCTATAGTATTATGTTCAGTTAATTATGATGAATTCCCTGCCTAAAGTTTTTCCCTATGACAGTTTCCCGCACATTTTCCTCTTAGCAGTCAGAGAGGTCTTTCTAAATGTTGGTACATTTGCTTAGGTTTAGGACACGATTTTAATAACATATCTATATAAACATAATCTAAGAGGGTTTGTATCACTTATTTGACAATGCTTCCCATGTAAGTTAATGTACCAAATAGCTCTCATTAGTTTAATTGCTTACAAAATGTCTGAAATGTTCAAGTGTCAAGAAATTTGAAAAGGTTTGAATGTTTTAATAGGATCACAAATCATTAAGAGACAATTTTAATTATCCCTTTTTACCAATGTAACAATAAAAGATATTCTAGGCAAATATAGAAGGTTACATAGCTGTGAGAGCACAATGTAACTCCTTGCATATTAAGACTCACTCAGTTTTCCTGAGTAATCCGAGATTGATACAGGAAATTATTTTGGTCACCAGAATCATGGTTTTTAGGCAGATACATCAAGAAGATAAAGTTTTGCTTGCAATTTCTTATGGGAAGCAGACCATTACTTTAAGACAACTCTGTACTTTTTCTAAAGAGAAAACAAAAACTTTATGCCATGCACTTTTGATGTTAAAACTCATTTCTTCTTTAAATTTATCATAATCTTAGCCAGTATTGGCCACACATAGAATTTTTTCCCAAAGATTCTTTCTTTATAAACTGCCCAGAACTTTTTAATATTCAGATTTTGTTTTAAATGTTTCCTCTTGAGATAAATGGTTTCACTTTCGGACAAAATTAGTTTCTGTTCCCTCAACACATATGTCTTTTTATTCTTCATACTTTCTCTTACCAAAAACAGATGTCTTATTTTCTTCATATACAGAGTTGCTGCCCTTATTAGTAGTCTTAATTACATTTATTAGAATATTTAATGCTTAGAAACCTTAATTTCCAGTAAAAACTAACTAGTAAGCAACTCTGAACTCTGTTACACCAGAACTCTTCAGATTTGAAAATTAGTTAATATATTTTGGAATTTTTAGAAACATGTGCTTTTGCATAATATAATCTTTCTGTAAAGCATGAAATCTGTTTATTAAAGACTCAAATGTAGCTTTAAACAAAAGCAGATAAATCTCTGTTCATTATTTTATCATAGTTACATCAATTTGATTTACTTGTTTTTAACAATTATACACAGACTACCTGTAAAACTTCATGAAGCATTAGGTAAAATCAACAATTATTCTTTTTTTAAAAAATATTTTTATTTATTTCTAGGAGAGAGAGAGAGACAGCGTGAGCAGGAGAGGGTCAGAGAGAGAGGGAGACACAGACTCTGAAATAGGCTCCAGGCTCTGAGCTGGCAGTCAGCACAGAGCCCGACGCGGGGCTCGAACCCATGAACCGCGAGATCATGACCTAAGCGAAAGTCAGACGCTTAATTGACTAAGCCACCCAGGCGCCCCTTAATCAACAATTATTCTAAGGTTTCTTTTTCTACTGATCAAGTGCAACAGTGGTACCATGATGTTATTTGAGTTTTAGTAAACACAAGCAGAATAAACATTTTCTATTTAATGCTGATAACACTACAGACATAACTATTATAAGTAAAACAACAACCTTAAATTAGCTTTGATGCCTGCTATGTTCCCAGATTGTGTGAATTTGAAACATGTTTGGGTGAGTTTTTACCTTTCTGAATTTTAGAATGCCCATTCCTTATAAGTGCTTGCCTCTAAACTAACTAAATAGAGCTCTTTTGCAAATTAATTTTAACAGTACTGCCCACATTTACAACATACATGAACACACACACACGCACACACACACGACACAAACAAGATGCAAACAAAATCTTAATTTTGTTTATACTACTATTTGTGGAGAGAACATTACAGGCCCAGTTTTTAAAAACTTTCTTCTATTGTTTTGTTTATTTGTTTTAACAGAAAACTTTCCGCTAGAGTTCACATGTCGTAAAAAGGCCCATAGGTCTTAGTGAAGATGGGGGTAGAGAATTTATATCACAAAAGCACAGAGCAAGGTCCTCACTTTCCTCCAGGGGGGATCCTTGGAGCCTCTCTGCCTGTCATTTGAGGGGCTGGAGTCTGGGGACATGAGTCCTGCCAGCAGTTTGTATTTTAAAAGCATCTCTTTCCCTCTTTATTTTT